CAAAACCACAACAAAAGCATAGGTGAAATGTTCTTGTATGGGTCTAGTTATGAAAATATCCAAAGTCCTCTTCATAGAAGGTCATCTCTGATGAATAGATGCCTTATTCTGGCATAACTTAGAGATTAATTATAGCCTTAGATGGGTTTGACATTCCAACAGGGCAAAATGACCAGAAACCCAGAAAAAGTGCCTCCCATATACTTCCTCACCGAGTAAGTAATTTACAGTACTGAGTAAAGACTCCATGTACCAGGGGATCTGGATCCTGGAGCTACACAGGTGAATTCAACACTCAAGTAGATGTAAATGCATTTACTTTCAAACCCAACAATCCGACTTGTAGGAATATCTAATAGATATAACTGTATGTGAACAAAATGACATGTATAGAGTCATTCATTGTGGCATTGTTTACAATAGCAAAAGAATGAACACAACTAATTTCTTTTAATAAGATCTTATTAAATAAATTTTAATGTGTTAATGCAATATGGTTGTAAAAAAGAATAAGGAAACTCCTTATATCCTGATATGGAAAGATATCCAGGATACAATAACTTAAAAAAAAACAAGGTGCTGTACAATATGTATGTAGTTACTGTTTCATTAAGAAAAGGTGGAAAGTGAGAGTATATATTTACATGTTCTCATTTTTACAAAAAACACAGGAAAGAATACAAAAGACAGCAGGGAAGAGCATGAAAGTGAGCCATCTGAAACACCTATTTTTATGGTCTTGATTTTTGAAACACATAAATGTGTTACTTATTCAAAATTAACTTTAATATAAAAAATTAAAAAGGATGGCCCTTTCCCTCTTCAAAAGAAAAGCTTAGGGCACTTACAGACCAGTAAAGAGACAGACAAGTAAATAACGAAATGCAGCAAGGTATTCGGAGTTCTTGATAGGTACATCTCTCCCAGGGCCTGGGTTAAGCAAAGCCATGTGCAAGGTACTCACTCTGACCTAGGGAAGGATCTAAGAGATTTAGTCCCAAATCCATTCATTCTCCAGGGAGACCTGGAGATGGGGTCATGTGAGGTCTTAGACAGGAATCTGAAAGCAACTGCTGTATTGCAAGTCCTGTTCTTTCCCCAGATGGCACGTCCTGTGCAGTCTTCTAACAGCTTGCTTCCCCACCTGCCTCTCATATTGCTCTTGGAGAAACTGTGATACTTTGTGGTACTTCACCTGCGAAGGCCCCAATCACAGATCCGATCACCGTTTGAGCCGAAGACCACTCTGTCCTCCCTTGGCTATTTCAGCGTGGCAGAGGTCACCAGATGCCTTTCTGCAGAGTGTGTGAACTGCACTTTATGTCACGCAGGGCTCTTTTAGAGTCAGCTCACGAGATAGACTGAGTGGGGAGAGGAGCCGGGCCCCTGACATGAATGTCGGAGTTCGTGTCCACTCTTTACTGAATGACCCAGGAGTGCAAAGGTATTTTTAAAGGTTTGGGGAGAAATGGATTCATTTCTTTTAAAGATGTTCTGTGCTGTTTAAAGAAGTTTTAAATAAGTCTGAAAAGGGCATAATCACTTTAGAAAGGAGGATGCAAAAGAGTAAGAGAGAAGTTAGTGCCACCCCCTTCCCCCATCACTTCTCATGTAGATTACTTCTCTAAAGATGTATCATCCCGGCAGCTGTTATAGTAGGTAAAACTCCCACACTTGCTGATCTTGAAAAGGACAGCCAACTCCACAGGCATACCACGTCATGCAGTCTACAGGAGGAAAGGCATCCCTCAGCTGCTGGGCGAGCCCACGCTGGGCTTTTGCAGCTTCTCTCATCCCACTTGAAGATCAGACTGGGCGACAAGCTGTTAGAAAATACCGGCACAGGTCTTGCTATCAGAGAAGAGGGAAGAAAGCTGTACTAACTGCCAGGAATGATGCATCATTGAGAGAACACTACTGGCAAGTAAGAGAGGCTTCCCAAAAGATCAAGGGATTATAAACATGTTTACATTGGAAGACTTAGTCTAATTCCCCTTCCGTAAAAGAATTCTTTCTGCAGTAGCCCTGACATACTAACCGCATGCCTCACCTGAATTCAGGGGGCATCCGGACAGAACAGCTAGGGGAAATCAGCAGTAGGAGCTCCAAGACGGTAAAGAAAGTCTGCTAAGAGATCTTATTCCTCTAGACTGGCAGGTACAAATACTCCAGTTTCTGTTGGGGCTGTGTCAACACTCCACAAGACTGGTGCAAATGAGAGTGGAGAGAGAAGCCCACGTGTGGTGGGAGCTCAAGTAAGTGGACATATTCAGTCAATACTTCCACTGAAACCGATTTGGCTCAGTGGAAAGAATGTTGGCCTGCGGACTGAAAGGTCCCAGGTTCGATCCCAGTCAAGGGCATGTACCTTGATTGCGGGCACATCCCAAGTAGGAGGTGTGCAAGAGGCAGCTTATTGATGTTTCTCTCTCTTCGATGTTTTTAACTTTCTATCCCTCTCTCTTCCTCTCTGTAAAAAATAAGTAAAATATATATTTAAAAAAAATACTTCCACCCAAGGAGGTGGCAGGCAGCATGTGGGCATACAAGTTAGCAAGTTGTGTTCAGATACCAAGATACCAGTACAGACAGAACAGATTATAGGAATCAGTGTGGAATCAGGGGCTAGGAAATCTGAACCAAAAATCCACACAAAGAAGGTTATGGGATAATGTAAATACTATCCTGAAAGAGTGTAGAATAGGTTCAGTACCAACTTGAGGTGTCAACAAAAAACCTGTGCAGAAGTAATCAACACCACATGCAGTTTATGGATACAGCCAATTTACCGGAAACTATGTCCTTAATCATTTCTAGGTTTGTTTTGTTTTGCTCAGGTGTGAGGGACATTTAAACTTTTTGCAGATTTGTTTTGTCTTATGATACATTTTCTGTGATAAAACAATACAGAGTTGTACATAGAAATAGAACATATTAATAATATGCACACAATGCCACTTTTTCTGAGGAAGCCACTAATGGAATGGTTTCTGTTACCTCTTTATATGCTCAAAAATCTTGAAAAAATTGGAGTCATATTTCACCTGTTAATGTATAACTTGCATTTTTCATTTTACAATGTACTGAAGGCATTTCTCCTTGATACTTCATATACATACCACATTTTTCTTGATAGAAGCATAGTGTTTACAGTACGGATTACCATAATTTAGTTAGCCCATTCACTTAGATTGCTTTAAATATAACTATTATAAATAATGTACATTCTTTCCATGTTATGCTATTTCCTTAAAATAAATTCCTAGAAATGGAATTACTGAGTCAGTGAGTATATGAACATTTTAAACTGCACTTTATGTCATGCAGGGCTATAAGGTCAATAATTTGCCTTCCAGAAAGGTTTTTATCCATTCTTAAGCCATCCACTCATAAAAGTGCCAGTTTTCATGCTCTTCAGACAATAATACAGATATAAATCCTTTCATTCTCTGCAAATGAGTTGGGAACTATGAATCCTTGATTTAATTTGTACTTCTTTAAATACTGGTGAGATTGAGCATCCTTGCATATATGTATGAACTGTCCGTATTTCCTGCTTTGATTATTCTGTTTCTACCCTTTGACTTTTTTTTCTAATGGAATGCTCATTTTACAGATATATTAATGATCTTTATGAGTCAAGAATATGTTTTTCACTGACTGAAATGCTTGAACTTAAATTATGACTTTAAAAAAATATATGTATTTTTACCGACTTCAGAGAGGAAAAGAGAAAGTGCAATAGAAATAACAGTGATGAGAGAGAATCATTGACCAGCTGCCTCCTAAACACCTCTTATTGGGGACTGAACCCAAACTCAGGCATGTGTCCTGACTGGGAATTGAACTGTGACCTCGTGAGTCATAGGTAGACGCTTAACCACTGAGCACACTGGCCGGACTAACTTTATGACTTTTAAAATTCCTAAAGAAATTTTAAATTTTCTTATGTTTTCAAACTTACCAATTTTTTGTTTTATGGCTGTTGGCATTGTTGTCATCCCAAGAATTTTATTATAAAAACAATGTCCTGTGTTCTAGTATATATGTATTTTTTTAATCTAAAGTTATTTTTTTCAACAGCTTAGCCCATTGACCTCATTTCATAAAAAAAATATTTTATTGATTTTTTACAGAAGGGAAAGGAGAGATATAGAGGGTTAGAAACATCAATGAGAGAGAGACATCGACCAGCTGCCTCCTTCACACCCCCTACTGGGGATGTGCCTGCAACCAAGGTACATGCCCTTGACTGGAATCAAACCTGGGACCCTTGAGTCCGCAGGCCGACGCTCTATCCACTGAGTCAAACTGGTTTCGGCGACCTCATTTTATTTTTAAAATAATTCAATACAATTTGTGCTCAACATTCTTTATGATCTATTTCCATCTGGTTGGCTGTCTTAGTGATGGTGTCATCAGTAGCAAAGCTCTAAAGTATATGGTTCGATGGACGGTTGAGCTCCCCCCTCGTTTTTTCTTGCATCCTCCCAGATATTTATTCTGATAGATCAAATTGTGCATAATTTTCCTAAGTTTTTACCCCCCAAAAAAACCTATTGAAAAATTTACTAAACATAGAGAGCACATTGGGTGTACCTGACATTGCTGTAATATTTATGTTAAATTTTTCCATTCTTTTAGTATTCAATATGATTTCCGTCAAGTCTTCTAATTGATTACTGCTCAAATAAAGGAAATCTGTTGAATTTTTATATATTTGCATTGTGTCTGGCTTCCTTATCAAACTTTCTTATTATTCATAAGCTTTGTATTTCACTCTCTTATTCTATATAACAACCACTCAAAAGTAATGATTTTGGTCCTTTCTGTAAATATTTACACAGTTTATATCTTTTTTTCATTGTATTAATTAGACCTATCAGAACAATGCTGGGTAATTAAAAACTATTCTTTCAATAGTTTAAAAGTATACTATCATCCAGGGTACTCAGATTATATATAAGAATAATTATAATTACAAAATTTATTTATTTTACCGTTCTTGATGTTAGGGAAAACAGGGTGCGTGGGTGAATTTCTGTTTTCAGCAGCTTCTTGCTTCTGGCTGACAGGTGAAACAGAACTGCTGAAAGTCGAAATTTGGCCTTTGGATCCTCTGTCCAAACCCTAAAAACCAAAAAAGGTAACATTGCATCAAAATTCCTACTAGCTATATTTATTTCATTACAGAAATCATAAACATTTATAATAGAGATTTTAATCTGATGATATGGGATAGATAGACAAAACATGTATATATCATTGACTTACCTTTTCTGGCACCAAATTGTTTTCGGTATAAAATGAAAATTTAGGTATAAAATGAGCTGCTTATAAATTAATAAAGTTTAGAAATAGGGATAATAATAGTACTTTTCTCAGGGTTATTGTGAAGATAAACTGAGAAAATGCGTATAAAATAATTAGCACAAAGTACACACTCCATTTATGTTAACTGCTATTTTAACTTTGTATTTAGGTAACAGTTTTTCTGACCTCCACAAATATTTTCAATAGTTAACATGCATGCCATAAGGTTTTCTTGTCCTTCGATGCAATTTTGTTTTATCTTATTTTATTTAAAAAACAAACAAACACCAAACATATTGATTTTTTACAGAGAGGAAGAGAGAGGGATAGAGAGTTAGAGACATCGATGAGAGAGAATCATCGATCAGCTGCCTTTTGCATACCCCCTACTGGGGATGTGCTCGCAACCAAGGTACATGCCCTTGACCAGTATCAAACCCGGGACCTTTCAGTCCACAAGCCATGCTCTATTCACTAAGCCAAATGGGTTTCGGCTGATGCAATTTTAAAAGTTCAGGTAAAAAGATAAACTTGGTAAATAACATTATTTGCATAATCTTGATAAATTGCAGCAATATGCTCAAGTTCACAGAACTAGTATGTTAATTAGGAAAATAAAACCAAAATAAACTATATATCTGAAAAAGAAAATCTTTCCTTGATATGAATATTGGAATACTTAAGTAAGGATTTTTAACTACTGGGCCATTGCTCATTTGTATGTTTTGTTCTATCAGAACATCTTAAATAATAGTGGAAACAAATACCAAATTTGATTCAATGTAGACTTCATTTATACACACTGTTTAATAAAAATAACACATTTGGAAAAATGAGGTCAGTGAATGGCCCCTCAGTATTCCCTTTGTTAACAGCTATAAATATCCACAATAACTTAATATATCAAGGATGTTTTCTTCATTGATAACTGTCATGGGTGTTAGTTACTTAAAGCTGAGCAGTAATAGTATTTAGAAAACAATGTAGTTAGAATATAGAATACGGAACAGAGAATGGTTCAGTGAGATGAGACTGGAAAGGTAGGCAAGGACTTTATCCTGGAGCTTTTAGGCTGTGGAATACAGATTTACCCTGGAAGGGGACAGAGAAAAATCAGTGAGAACTTAGAAACAGGGCATGACATAATCATATCCATACCTTAGAAAAACAACTCTGACAGGGGTGTAGGGAATAGACTGAAGAGGAGTTAATACAAGAAGCTAGACCAGACCTATCAGAAGAAATGAAGTCTGAACTGAGACAGTAGTAACAGAATGAAGACAACAGCAGCCTGGGCCAAAGCTGGCAAAATGGTAATAGCTAGTTCAGGTCTGAATGTAAAGTAATAATGAGAATCAGAGAACCTATCCATACATTTTTTTAAAAAAAAGGAATAAACAAAGTAAGATGCTTTATTTCAGATTTCAGAAGACTAGACATATTTTGACATCTCACCATAAAGAAGGCATATAATTTAAGAATATGTAAAAACTTGGAGAAAATTCTAGACTAGTTTATATAAAAAATATTAGAGGCCCGGCGCACGAGATTCATGCATTGGTGGGGAGTGGGGGTGTCCCTCATCCTGGCCTGCGCCCTCTTGCAGTCCAGGACCCCTCAGGACATTACTCTCACAGCTTGGGGCTTTTGCAGTCAGAACCCCTCATACCTTACTGCCCGCCTGCAGCAGAGGCAGGAGAAGCTTCAGCCACACAGCTGTACTTGCCAACCGTGAGCCCGGCTTCTGGGTGAGCAGAGCTCCCCCTGTACAGCTCCCCTGCAGTGACCATCAGGGGGCAGCTCTGCATTGAGTGTCTGCCCCTTGGTGGTCAGTGCGCATCATAGCAACCTGTCATTCCACCGTTTGGTCAATTTGCATATTAGGCTTTTATTATATATGATGATTTATAAATGACTAGAAAAGGAACTAATGCTCACTAGGCAAAAGCATGCTTCTCACACCAAAATAATGATATATTTCTAATTGATAGGATCATCATTATGCTACTGTGTAGCAACTGTTATGCAAAACGAATACAAGGTCAGAACCATGGGAAATATGGGGATGTATAATCTGGGCTGATAAGATTAAGAATGAATGGCCAAAGAGATAAGATATTCAAGAAGGCATGGTACTAAAAACTAGGAAAGGATAAAGTTTCAAGAAAAAAGTGGTCAATAGTGTCACAAGATGAAGAGTGGTTAGGTCTCAAGAATGAGCAACTATGAAATCATGGAGACAGTCAACAGATTCAGGGTGATGGGATATCAGAAACTATTATGAAATGGATGGACAAATGAATGGGACCTTAGAAGACGAAAGCAATGAGCAGGATTGCTCTGTTCAGAAGCTCTATGGAAGGAGAGAATGACCAGTGGCTGGAAGGTACAAAGGTTTGAGGGAAGAGACACAGCTGCCAAGTGCAGTGTTTGCTTCTCTGGTCCCCATAACATCACTGCTGTCCTCTGTGCAGCAGTGGCCATGGGCTGGAGCAGATAGGCACTCAACTGAAAGGTGTCATCTGTGGGCCACACATAGGGAGCCTGGCACAAAGGACACTGATATTTCCTGGGATGTCAGAAGAGTTTTTTTTTTTTCTTCTTCTAAATTTTAGATGGAGGAACATGGGAATAAGTGATCAACCTAGAGTGAGAGACTAGCAGAAGCACAGAGATCAGCCTGTTTTTGTTCCTATTGCTTTATGGTCCCAATCCACATCATCATTCCATTAAATCTCTCTCTCTCTCTTTTTTTTGTCCCAAAAGGAGGCATAAATGGCCTGATTTCCTGTTCCTTATAATAAAAAATCTTAGACAACATGAAACAAAATCCTTGGCCCATTAAGTCTCTTGTTTGTAAGGTGACTGTCTCTTTATACTTTATACTTGAGATGACATGAAATTAATTATGCAGTTTCTTAGGTTGACAGTGCACTATAGATTAATAAAAGAAAACCCTCACAATGGCAGTTCTCTATACTAGCTTGCACAAGAGAAATCTTACACATAACCCAAGACTTTCATGAGGAAAAGCAGGGGCAGTATGTTGTGCAATGGTAAACTGAATAATTAAAAATTAGAGAATAAAATCAAGAAGTTATTTGGTATTAACATTACATCAAACCTCAGACTGAATTAAACATTAGAGAACATTACAAGTCTTCTAAGAATTGCATCTACCACAATTATTACATCTGGTTTCCTGGGGGTTTGGAAGTGTTCTTCAGCTCTCAGCAGGAGAGCACTCCAATGAAGTCCTGGAATGTGGGCAGTCTACAAGTAAGGGCTGAATGTGCTGAAGAACAGAGGGTAGCGAGATACCCAACCAGCTTTTATAGACTGAAGATAAGTACAAACAAGGGACACAGGGGGGAAAAACACTCTGAGAATTAATTGAGGGAAAAACCACAAACTATTTGAACCAGGCATAATAAATGACTCTCTAAGCAAGGGCTGACCACGAGTTTAATAAACAGCAGAAAAATTTTATGTTCATATTTCACAAGTACCTAACATAGACCTGAATGGTCTTTCTGACTATACTAGTATAATCACAGTATATAGGTGAGATTATAATATAATTTCAAAAAATTAAATACTTAGAGTATCAGTTCTGCCCCTGCTAACACATAATTGAATACTGTCAGCCTTATATAACGTTTTATTTTGATACGCGAGTTCCTATTTTCAACCTTTACTTTGGAACAGATTATATTTGAGTTAAATTTTATATTTTTCTATCAGACCCCAATAAGGTAATTAATGGTTTTCCACAATAGCTTTTGTATTGAACACCAAGCTCTATTATATTCATAATTTTAGTATAATTTACTTTGTTCATCTTCTACCCTCAAAAACTGTCTTAGGAGATAAAACATTTCTGTTCAAGCCACACTGGCCAGGGCTCTGTTCACATTCTCTAATAATCTGAAACAGGAACAATGGCTGGTTCTGTACCCTAGTGAAACTTTTAAAAGTCATAATATCTCATTATATTATATTAGAGTCTGTGAATTAAGATATTTTAAATTGAATTTTTGTGTCTACAAAATATCTTAATTATAACATTTTAAACTACTAATTTTGCATACAAGCTGGAAATGCTTGCATTTTAAATTATATCAAGGAAAATTATTGTTGCAGTCTAGCTATTTAGACCGGTCAGACTGGAGGTTTTATTTACTGAAGAGACAGCATGTAACAAATACATAGGGAGATGGACTGCACTGGCTCAGCTGTCTGCATGCCAGGTGTCAAAGGGGATAGAGTCACCAGGACATGTTCAATTTCAGAAGAATTATTAACACCTGGTTTAATAGATAGCTGGATTCTTACATCTGCTTCTGCACTCAATTTTGCAATATCACGAGTCATATAGCCTCTAGAAAACTACACTGTCAACTCCTGAAAGAATGAGCAGGAATAAGACAAGACAAATAACCTCTCTGTATCTTTGTAAAAGTAGTTTGACCTCAAGTATTTATAAAGGACTAGAGACCTGGTGCACAAAATTCATGCACTCGGGCGGGAGGGGTCCCTCAGCTCAGCCTGCGGCCTCTTGCAGTCTGTGAGCCCTTGGAGGATGTCCAATTGATGGGGTAGGCCTGCTTCCCTCAGAAGTCGGCAATCAGGCATTCTTCGAGCTGTCACGCCAACTACCGCTGTGCTCGCTAGCCTTGAGCCTGGCTTCTGGTTGAGTGGCACTTCCCCTGTAAGATCAGGCTAAAACCAGCTCTCCAACATCCCCTGAAGGCCCCCAGTTTGCAAGAGGGTACAGGCCAGGCTGAGGGACCCCACCAGTGCACAGCGGGGCTGGG